GCAAAGTTATGGAGCTTATTACCCCCAAGAAGTGGACCAATACAACTATTAATGCATTACAGAAAAAGTGAGATACTGAATGCCGAGAAGATCCGAATGGATTGTGATCAGTTTTAGCCACTTTTGCGTTCACTTTACTTCTCTTTCTTCATTACATGCTTCTTTCTCCTAGTGGTGGACATCATCCAAATTCTTTATCTTGAGTCTTCCCTTGCTTTGATTTCTTTGTCTTTATAATTGAAAGCCTCAAATTTGAGAAAGTCTCAGAATCTCTTAGCTTGGTAAAAGTTCATATTTCAAGGTCTACGCTGAGAGAGTGGGAAGTAGTAGGGCTTGGGTGGGTCCTGGAGATGCATTTATAACAAGTTCCCAAGGGTACCTGCAAGCAGGTGGTCTGTGCATCACTCTACGTGTCCCTTCCTGGTTGATTAACATTTTTATTTTTTTTTTCAGTGCCAGTTCTATGCCCATTACTGCTGTAGGAACTGAAAATAGAGTGGAGACCCAAAGAATGGTCCTTCCTTCATGGAGAATGCATGCTGCCCTTCCCTCCATTGGATCTTCCACGACATCATTTGAAGATCTCCGTGGTTAGGCTGTCCTGGAAATTCCTACTCAATGTGTTCAAAAGGCCATTTCTTATTCTCTCTCGACGTATCAGCTGCCCTCCACCCTACCCTGTCCTTGACTTTCCTGCGTCCATCATGGTTCTGGCATTCTTCTTCCTCCTTCTTCCAGTTGCCCACTCTCTGTGTTGTCTGTGCATTATCTACTCTAATCATGCAGGTATCATGCCTTTTTGATTCTTCATTCACATCACTTGTCTCTTCTCATATCTCTGGTTAATCACAAACAAGATCCTTAGAAGTTCATGCTAAAAGCCTGCAGAAGACACTTCATTTGCTTCCCTGTCTGCTGTCTTTTCTTATTTTAATTTATTCAAATTGATTTTCAAGTGCTGTGTTTCTGAAACTATGACAAGCACTAGAATTATCTGGAAGTCCTGTGAAAATGAGATTCCCTGTTCATTGCTCTGCAGGGTCACCTGAGGTTGGGCAATCTCACATGCTGAGGCGGGTGGTTCATGGCGGTCGCTTTGAGAGGCAGGTCCTGGAATACACTGTTTTTACTTGGTAAGTCTCCTTCCTTTTTCTCCTTTGGCTGTCACCCATCAGCTTCAACCCTGGAATTCAGAGTGGCATTTGAAGCTTAAACCTGGCAGGGGTCTTCTCATTGAATTTTTTTCTCCTCCTTCTTAGATTCCTTTCTTTGCTTCACAGGTCTCCTTCCAGCCCAATTCCCCCATCTTTGCTTTTGCTACCTTTCACATCAGAAATGTTGTCATCTTTCCCTTGATTCTTTTAATCTTTACCTAACTGATATGGTTTGGCTGTGTCCCCACCCAAATCTCATCTTGAATTGTAGTTCTCATAATCCCCAGGTGTCGTGGGAGGTAATTTAATCATGTAGGCGGCTAGTCTTACACAGTTCTCATGATAGTGAGTGAGTTCTCATGAGATCTGATGGTTTTATAAGGGGCTTTTTTCCCGTTTGCTTTGCACTTCTTCCTGCCACCACATGAAGGAGAATTTACTTGCTTCCTTTTTTTTACCATGATTGTGTTTCCTGAGGCCTTCCTAGCCATGCTGAACTGTGAGTCAATTAAACCTCTTTCCTTTATAAATTACCCAGTCTCTGGTATGTCCTTATTAGCAGTATGAAAACGAACTAATACACCAACCTTCAAGTTAAACTAAAGCTCTGTCTCCTCTACTTCCCCAGGCTACAAGTATCTAGCCAGTCTCCAAATTCCCAACACACCTACTTCCTGGTGCATTCCTCTGATATGTCTTACTAGCTGCCAATTTAATGGTGTGTTTATTGCCCAACTAACTAGACTGAGCATCTTGTGACCAAGACTTCATATTATTTATATCACACTCCCTGGCACATAATTAATATTAAACAAATAACACCACTAATAATATTTGTTTTCATATTTTACCGATGGAAATCAGGACTTTTGGTTGAGACCACTAAGTTTTTTGGAGAAATCATCAAAGGTACTTACATTTTCCTATAGAGGGACACATGCTTGTCCCTCTGCCAGAAATACTCCCTTTATACACAATTGTCCTTTGCGTGGTTAACAATGGCTTATCCACTGGGTCTAAGTTTAAAACTCCCTTCTTCAGAGAGGTCTCTGACCATCCAGATTAATCTATTTCTCTCTGATATCATTGGCATAGCACACTACACTCTCTCATAGTATGAATCACACCTGAAATTAGTAATTTTACTATCTTCTCCAACTATTTGTATTGTAAGAGGATTATATATCCTTGCCTGTTATCATATGACCTACAGTTCTTTTCTATGGGAAGAGTGTATTTCCCCACTCCATTTATGTTGGTTCTGGCCATGGGACCTTATTTAGCCAATGAACAAACACAGTGAAATGCACCATTTTTAGCCATCTCTAGTTAAACACCTTACTGGAGGAGTAAATTCTGTACCAGTGGTTCTCAACTAGGGCTTGATTTTTCTTCCCATGGGACAATTGGCAATATCTGGAGATCTTTTTGGTTGTCACGTCTGGGGGTAATGCTGCTGACATTAGTGAGTAGAGGCCAGGGATGCTGCTAAACATCCTACAATACGTAGAATAGCTCCCCACAAAAAGGAAGTATCCAGCCTTCAATGTGAATGGTACCGAGGCTGAGAAACTGGGCTATACACCAATGTCATCTGAGAAAAACTCTACTCCAAGTGGGAAAATGAGCTTTGAAATAAACATCCATTCACTAGTTTAGTGTCCTGGATTTTACAATCTTTCTGAACCTTATTTTTTTTTAATCATTTGAGAAGTGTGTATGATAACTCTACCCTCAAGAAGATGTTGTAGAGATTAAAGAAAATATTGTTAAGTAACGCGACTGGCATATTGGTCTTCAAGAATGCTAGGTCTGTCTCCTGTCCTCATTGATGCTATGTCAAGATTTATTACACACAATCAAGTTTTTTTTCAGAGTCTCGCTCTGTTGCCAGGCCTGAGTGCAGTGGTGCGATCCCAGCCCACTGCAACCTCTGCCTCTCGCCAGGTTCAAGTGATTCTCCTGCCTCAGCCTCCTGAGTAGCTGGAACAACAGGTGCGTGCCAGCATGCCCAGAGTAGCTGGAACAACAGGTGCATGCCAGCACGCCCAGCTAATTTTTGTATTTTTAGTAGAGACGGGGTTTCACCATGTTGGCCAGGACAGTCTTGATCTCCTGACCTCATGATTCGCCTGCCTTGGCCTCCCAAAGTGCTGGGATCACAGGCGTGAGCCACCATGCCTGGCCCAATCAAGTGTTTAATCCTCTAAATAACATTAGGATTTGTGCTAGTATCTTTAAAATATTACTCAGACCATGGCAGCAGGGATTGGGGGTAGGGTATCTATTATTTGTGCTGCCTGACTAATTCTGGAGACTTGGACCCAGACTTTGGTGGGTTGAATCCAAAGGTCCAGAGGCTTTATTTGTGTTCCCCAAGAGGGCAGGCAGCAGAGCCCATGTGTTCTTTAACTAACTGGGTCTTTCTGTTTGCAATGGCAATGAGAAACAGGGAAAATTCATAATAATTCTTACAATGATTATGTGCTGCGATCTTTAGCCGGAATGATCCCTTGGAATGAAAAGCTGATACTATCATGCCTTTGCTTACATCCCTTCAGTGGCTTGTTTTCCTTGGAGCCTGTAAAATCAAAGTCCAAATCGTTCCCGTGACTTAGAATGGTCACAGTCTGTCTCTTGTACTCCCTACTCTAGTGTCCCCATATTGTCCACGGATCTCAGAATATGTCATGCCTTCTCTAGTCTCAGGGTCTTTGCACAGGAAGTTCCCATGTGATAAAATGCTTTTCCCCCTTCTTTTCACCTTTATAACCTCTACTTATCTTCCTGTTTTATGCTATAGTCTCTGTCAGAGAAGATTTTCTCAAATCCTCTAAACAAGTCAGGTCATTTCACCCTGTATTTCTACCATGCCCATTCTCAGAGCTGATGGCAATCAGTAAAACTCTACACCTCATGTATGCTTACCAGTTAAAACACTGAAGACAATACTTTTGTAATTGTTGATGATTTATTACTGCTCTGAGCCCCCAGTGCCAAGCCCTGGCCACACTGGCCTTCTTTGGAACATTACCTTTTGCCCACTCCCCATTACTCCAAAATCAAGCAACTGAAGGTTGTCTGGCACCATAGCAGACTTTCAGACTCCTGATGTGAGGTTACAGCCAACATTCATTTGGATTGGCCCATATAATCCCTGCTCGTATTTCTGCCTTAGGATTATTTGTCTCATAATCATGTTATCGAGCAGTGATTATTTGTCTTTCTGGAAACATTCTAAAATCCAGAAAGCAGGGGTGAGTTTTATAGTGGACCTACAATCTGAAATACACAATATGCACTTCTGTTAACTGCTTCTCTTATTTAATCCTCGCAACTCCATGTGGTAAGAGTTGTCCAGTCTATCTATTTCACAACTGAGGCTTCAAAAATAAAAGAGATCCATGTTGAAGGGAGAGGAAAAGAAGAAGACTCCTAGGACCGTTAGGCCTGGGGCTGTGTTATCCCAGTGCCATCATCTCAGGATATGATGGGAGCTGCTAGGTGTAGAGATAGCTCCTCTTTGGAGAAACCTCCATGAAACGGTTTCAGGGAAGGCCATTGTGGTTATGTCTCAGAAGATTTGCCCTGCAAGTGAAACAGAAGTTTCTCGTGGAGATGTGGAGGGGGCTGCCCTGCTGTGTCAGAAAGTGGATACTCTATGGAACCAAACCCATTATAATGAGATAAGGTCGAGGCTGCTGTTGGATCTTTACCCATTGTAGCTTCTATTTGTATGGTAAGCAGCTGCTAAGATGGCCCCAGATATCACTGCTTTGCAATAGTCCTGTCTTTGTGTAATCTACTCCCCGTGAGTGTGGGCTGGATATTCTGGCTCTCTTCAGGTAAACAGATGATTGAAAAAGTGATGAAATGTCACTTCTAAAATTAGGTTACAGAGAGAATGTGGTTTCGTTTTTGCTCACTCCCTCTTATTCAGGGAAACTAGCTGCCTTTTTATGTACTGCCCTATGGAGAGGCACACATGTCAAGAAACTGAGGGAATGCCTTCCAGCCAACAGCCAGCCAGGAACTAAGGTGCTCAGTACAGCAGCCTCTACAAGACTGAATAATGCCAACAGCTATTTGATTGTGCTTGGAAGAAGATCTCCATTTAGTTGAACCTTCAGATGAGACTGCAGCCCTGGCCAGCAAACAAATTGCAGCCTATGGAAAGACCTTAAGGCAGAGGCATCCAACTGAACGACCCAAGGGCTCTGACTTACAGAAACTGTGAGCAGTAAGTGCCTATTTTTTTAAACCACTACACTTTGGGGATGGATTGCAACACAGCTATTGATAACTAATAGAGTTTGTTACGTTAGCATTTTAGTCTGCTTTTTTAGCTGCAAGATAAAACTAACCCCTTCACATAAACAGTTAGATTTCAACTCTACAGGTTCAGTTTTGACTTTATAGTTAGCTACTAATGAATCTACACATAAATGTCAGGTTCCCCTAACATAGAAGAGAGGCCTACTATGTACAGGATTATGGACTGTGAATTTCTAGATATAAAGATTTTGTCTCATTCATCTCCGTACCCCAGGGCCTAGACCAAGCTTTATCCTATCATAGCTATTTAATATCTACGGGTCGATTTAAATGATCTAGTTACCAGATAGCTATTATGACCCACGTTTTACTGATAAAATAAGAGAAGTACCTAGAGTTTAAGTGATTCAGAGAAGGTCATGTGAGTGGAGTCAGGGCTTTCACCCAAATTCTCAGGCTGCCATCTGTGTATCCCAGCGCTTCCTTAGTGGGTAAAATAGCCCATTACAGACTAGAATGGCAATGTTTTCCTTCCATCGCAACATACTAGCTCAAAATAAGCAGGTGGCTTTTTTATTTCTTTTTAAAGAAAAACGATGTTTTATTAAAGGATTGTCTTCCAAAAAGGCTTCGTTACTCCTTTTTTTCCCTTTAAGCATAGTGAAATGGCCTCTACCTTATTTCGAAAGGATTTCTGGGATAAAGTTCTTCAGTGATAACACGTTTGAAGTAAGTAACAATTAAGTTATCTTAGTCCTCACTAATAATGTTCGTGGAGGAATTGGTGTTTCTTTCTGAGTTAATAAGAAACATTTGCAGCCAAACCATAGGACTCTGAAGATAAAGCAATTGGCAAGAAATGGTATGTTTAAATACCAGAAAATAGCCCATATCCAAACAGGTGTGCGAGAAAACAGTATAAATAAACTGCTCTGTATGCAGTTTAGCCCGAGCAGAATTGTGTAGGAAACTTTCCTCCTATTCTGGAAAAAATATAACCAAACCAGGCCACTTGTATCCTCCTTAGACTGCACAGCTGGAAAAACAGTCCTTGTTCAAACAGCCGAAAGTAAAAGTTGTTTTAATTTTTTTTTAATGGCCAGATAAACAAAACCTTGCTAGAGGAATGACTATACTTGTGCAAATATGGCCTTGAGCTAGCATCTTGTGAAAGACTCACCTCTTTTCAACCTTTAAGAAATATGCCTGCTTCTTTGAATTCGTGATGGTCACTTCATGTTGTGTTAGGATATTTTTTAAAAAATGTTTCTGTTGGTACAGTTGTCTTAACCATCTGGGCACTTGACTTAGGGCATTAAGAATATAGATGCCTAAAAGAAGTGCTTGGTTTCTGTAAGATCTGCTATGTGCACAGGAAACATGGTTTAGAGCTCAAAGGGGTTACAAAAACTGTCCATCTTTTTATGCCATTTCTTTCTGGCCAGGAACAAAGGTAAGACAAGAGGTTGGTCCATGCCAGAAAGTCTGAAAGTATGTGGGTTAAATGTTTCCAACTGGGCTGTTTGGTGTTTGGGATCATTTGTTCTTTGCCAACCTGTGCCTAGGGGGGAAAAAGGCAAAAACAATGGAGACGGAGCCTAAGGTTCCTGGAGATATTTGGTATTTGACATGCCTCAGTGGTGAGGAGCATTTATGGTGTAGTGAAAAGTAAATGGTCCTCTGCATTTCACAGTCCAAACCCTGGCTAAATCTGACTAACAAGACAATTACTGCTTCTGAGCCTCAGTTTTCCATCTCTAAAATGGCCTTCTATACACAGTTATGAGACTATATGTAAATACATAACTTGTTAGAGGCAATAACACGTGAAGATTACATGCAGTAATACACATGTAATAACATAAATTATCTTATGACGATTATATGCAGTAGCATGCAGCGGCAGTCACACACTGTGTGCTCCATAGATGGTGTCTTATTTGAACGGTTGTTGCTGCTGTCCTCAAGGAGTTTCTCTTTTGAATACATCCCTCCCTCAACACACACAGGCCTAGATCTTTCTGTCTTTGCCCTGGAATGATTATCTATAGATACTGTGTGCAAAGTGAAATTATGCCAAGTACTATAGAAATGAAAATGACTGAATCAAGGTCAATTGGTGTGGAAGTTAGGAGCATAGGTTCTGGGCCAGGTACAGTGGCTCATGCCTGTAATCCCAGAATTTTGGGAGGCCAGGGCAGAAGGATAGTTTGAGCTCAGGAGTTAAAGACCAGCCTGGACAACATGGCAAAACCCTGTCTCCACACACACACACAGACACATACACACACACACACACACACACAAAGCTAGCTGGGCAGGTGGGCAGGGTGATGCCTGCTTATAGTCCCAGCCACTTGGGAGGCTGAGGTGGGAGAATCACTTGAGCCCAGGAGGTCAAGGCTTAAGTGAGCTCTGGTAAGTGCATTAGGTTGGTGAAAAATTAATTGCAGTTTCAGGCTCTAGTTTTAAATGGCAAAGACCGTAATTACTTTTGTACCAACCTAATACCACTGAACTCCAGCCTGGGTGACGAAGTAAGACCCTGTTTCAAAAAAAAAAAAAAAAAGGTGTAGATTCTAAGCTCAGGCTTGCTTGAAATTCTGGCTCATTTTCTTTCTATCCAGGTAGCCTTGTTGAGTCTCAATTTCCCTATCTGTAAAATGACAATACTAGCAGTATATTCTTTATTCTGTTTAAAATGAAGAGCTCAAGTGCTAGTGTGTACTCACGTGCTTTCTTTGCGAGTTCAAGCACTCAGACTTCAAATGGTATCTTCCGGAGCTTCTTCAGCTGGATTCTGTCCTCTTCCTCATTTGTCACTCTGCTGGCTGCTCCAGGTCGTTCCCATCTATAAATAACCATTTCAGAGCCAGACATCACTGACTAATATCTCAATCTCTAGGAACAAAGATTTTGACTTGTGTCACACTCAGTGGTTCAGAATGATTGTAACCCAATTCCGGCTACATCCAGAATGAGATGGAAATCCAGCATTCTAGTTGGGAGCGGGATTTTCTCTAAGAAACTACGGTGGATCAGGATAAAAGTTCTCTTTTCCGTTATTCATAAAAGGCAGGGAAAGAGAGTCAGAGTTATGGCTTATGGTGTCGCAAGAATGTTTAGTATCATTTTAAGGATCTCTCTCGTTCTCTCTTTCTTGCTCTCACTCTTGTTCTCGCTCTTGCTTTTTCTCTTCCCTTTTCCTCCCTGTGGCAAGTATTATAAATAGGCCTCCTTCTTATCTGATCCTCCCCTAAATGTTTTTCATTTGAAAACCACAGTTAATTTTAGATAAATGTCAGAGATAATCTCAAATTTGTGTGTAATATAGGCCCTAGTTCTAAGAAAAACATGACATGTCTGGAAGACCTTGTTTTGGCCTTTGTTCCTCTGCTAGTACCACAGCCAATAGCTCTGACTTCCCGCCCTTTATCTGAGACTAGGTTGTATCTTAAGTCTCCTAAGCCCCTTTTCCAGAAGCAGAGAAACTGCCACCATCTGAAGGGCTCCTTTCTAATCCAATAGTTTCCCAGGAAAGATTTTAAAGCTGGAAAGGGGCTCAGGGGAGTGACGGGTGAGTTCACCAACACTGCCCGCCTGAGCAATTTGCAGGATCAAGTGGCCTCTGTCTTCTGATTCTCACAGGCCAGGCCCCCTCCAGATCCACGTGTAGATAACTGCAGTCGTAAATGTTGTGCAAAGGCTGCTGTACAACCCTTTTAAAGAAGAGGCTGTTTTTCAGAACCTGGGCCACATTTGTCCTGGCCTGAGTTAAGAGGTAAAGAACATTCCAATTGTGAGCTTGGATGGAAAAAAATATATTTGAAGTTTTTTCTGCTAACAAGGTATGCAGAGGACTCAAATTCCAGTAAACGAAGGTTAAAGACGGGCTGATTTGCAGAATACGGTCATCACCCCCGCCCCTTAATTTTTCCATAAAGTGCCATAAAAAGCCACTGCACTAACAAACATTTTGGGAAGGGAACAAGCTCCAGGCCAAGAAGCCACAAGTTTAAATGGGGGGAAATCTGAGCCCTGAGGCACAGTTTCCTGAGCAGAGTCATTACTCAAGAAGGGAATCAGGCATTAACAGAACTATCCCAACCCAGCACCAAAGCTAACGCTTCTCTGGGTGCCGTGGGACAGTGCTGGTCTGGAGAAGAGCGCCAGTGTTCCTCACTGGAGTTACACCCTTCACCTTGACTTACAATGTGAAATGAGAGCATGTCTCAAAGACTCAGCTTATACCTGAAAAACACCTGAAGAAAAACGTCTTGTTTTATTTAAAGGATGAAAAGAAAATGCAACGCAATGCAATTGCAAAAACAAAACAAAACAAAACAAAAAACTCCAGCTGGACGTGTTTTAAAAAATTTATTGTTGTAGAACACAGAAAAATTAATGCTAAAATGGATACAGAAGAGTAAAGTCCCCCAAGAGAGCTAGGCCAACTGTGAAGAAGAGAAATATGGAGGAGGGGCTTATCCTACAAAATGCTGACCTCCTACAAAACCATCATCGTAAAATTGGTCTGCTTCTGGCTTGAGAACAGAGACCAGTGAACAGAACAGAGGCCTAGAAGACAGGCCTCCTTATAAATGAGGACTTGGAACATGTTTAACATGGTTTAAAAATCATAGGGAATGGTTAGATTATTTAGTACATGGTATTGAGAAACTGGTTCACCATATGGAGAAGAATAACATCTATATTTTTTTCTTTCTTTTTTTTTTTTTTTTGAGACGGAGTCTCGCTCTGTCGCCCAGGCTGGGGTGTACTGGCGCGATCTCGGCTCACTGCAAGCTCCGCCTCCCGGGTTCATGCCATTCTCCTGCCTCAGTCTCCCGAGTAGCTGGGACTACAGGCGCCGCCACCGCACCCGGCTAATTTTTTTGTATTTTTAGTAGAGATGGGGTTTCACCGTGTTAGCCAGGATGGTCTCGATCTCCTGAACTGTGATCT